TATGTGTGTGTGTGTGTGTGTGTGTGTGTGTGTGTGTGTGTGTGTGTTTCAGTCGTTTGTAGTGAAGGTGGAGCGTGAGGGTCAGCAGGAGGCGCTGCTGGTTCAGAGGACGTTTGAAGAGTTTCATGAACTTCACAGCAAACTGAGACTCATCTTCCCCTCATCCAAACTACCCAGGTACACACACACACAGTAAAAACACAATAAAAAAACTAAAGTCATCAGGATTTTATTTGTCACTGTCCATCTTCTCTCCTCTTGGTCCCACAGTTTCCCGAGCCGCCTTGTGATCAGTCGTTCCCGTGGAGAGGCGACGGCTGACCGGAGGAAGGACGAGCTGAACGGTTACGTGTGGCACCTGATCCACGCCGCCCCGGAGGTCGCTCAGGTCAGTCGCATTCTGACATTCTGTGTGAAGAATAATAATAATAATAAAGTAGAAAAGTGCCCTCAGCAGAGTGCAGATCTCAGCCAGGTGTGTCTGCAACGACCAGAGCTGTGATGTTTAAACTACGACCCCCCCCCCCCCAAAAGATACGCTGTTATTTTAAACTATGCAGCTCCTATATATATTTATTTATTTATTTATTTATATATATGTATTTATTTATATATGTATATACTGTGTGTGTGTGTGTGTGTGTGTGTGTGTGTGTGTGTGTGTGTGTGTATATGTATAACCTCTTTTCTTACATTTACAGTTTAGTGTTTCTTCGCGTGTCTCAGAGTCTCGTTCCTTCTGCTCAGATCTTAAGTTTCATTTTCACTCAGCGGTTTCTGAGAAATGTTCTCACTGAGAGGAAAGGCATCGGCCTGTACGTGTGTGTGTGTGTGTGTGTGTGTGTGTGTGTGCTGTATCAGGTCTTTCCAGTTTTAGAAACTTGGCAGTCGAAGGCGTTTCACTCTCCGTCTTTTCTCTCACACACTCAAACTAAATATAAAGTTATGATACTTTATATTATATTTGCATTAAATCTGTCTTATTATAATTTAATTTAGTTTGAATCCTTCACCTTAAAATATTATTATTATATTTGCAAAAAACTGTTTTTTATAAAAATATTATGTTCATTACATTTGTTGTTACTATAATAATTATATTTTTGCATTAAATCTGTTGTTATAATAATTTATTATATTTACATTAATGCTGTCGTGGTGTCGATTATTGAGGAGCACATTTATTTTTAACTTTCTGCTTCCTTGTGTATAAAGGAACCATCGGTGTCATCAGACGGGTTCATGTGTGTTTAATTATTCACTTTATTCGTCACTAAACGCTGACAGAAGCAGTTTTATGACTAACTGATGAGTATAAAACTAACGGATCAGATGATTCTGGTCACGGTTTATGATCATGAACGACCTGTTAGTAAATTGTTTTGGACCTGTAACTGGTTGATAATTATCTTTTATCACTTCAAATGAATCCTGACAGTATAATTAACATTAAACAGCCTCTTTAGTGTCAGAAGCAGCTTTATAAACTTGTCTTGGTGCTTTGCAACAAACTTAGTAAGATAAAAATAAGAGCAAGCACTGCACCAGGCTAGAAACAATATATGAAATATTAATAAAAATACGTACAATATTTCATTTTTTTTAAATGAGGAAGTGTACATTTTAGTGCAGGAATATGCAAAAAATGATCAGTATGAAGTTACTGTATTCTATTGAACAGGGAAGATGTAACGTATAGACTGTGGAGGGTCCAGGGCCTTTTTGATGAGACGTGTAGACGCGTTTTAATTTTAAATATTAATTGTGTGTTGCAGTGCGACCTCGTCTACACCTTCTTCCACCCGCTGCCCCGAGACGAGAGACCCGGACCGACGGCCACCAAACCAGCAGGTACAAACTAACCAAGTCCTGCATGTGAGATGGAGTCAGTGTAGATGCAACATTAGATTACTGCACTGTGGAGCAGATTCATCACGGTAAAACCAGTTAAAGTTCAACTGGTCCACCCACATACCTCCCTGTAACACACACACACACACACACACACACAGGGTTGCACTGTCTCTGGTTACTCTGGTGGATAATATGATAATGATGGACTTCATCTGTGCAGCACAGAGACGAGAATGTTGTGAGGCAAGATGTCTGCGTCTTCACTCATGAGTTAATCATGTTTTCTCTGCGTCGGTAAATACTAGTTGTGGAAGAAGTATTCAGATCCTTTACTGCAGTAAAAGTACTAATACCACACTGTGAAAATACTCCACTACAAGTAAAAGTCCTGCAAAGTATTGATAGTGCAGCAACAAGTTTCACTATTACATCTGATGTTTCTGGATTAATGTTCCTGCTGCATTAACATGTACAGTATGTTGCATTTTAACTCCTTTGTATCCTGTTGGCTAGTTTAATCTGTGTGTGTGTGTGTGTGTGTGTGTGTGTGTGTGTGTGTGTGTGTGT